GAGTGCGTACAGCCATCTGTGGACACAGCGGAGCTACATTTCAGCCAGTGGTGTTGGGGATCTTGTCTAAACTAATGGAATTATGAATGGAGAAAAGTGCAGTTTGAGCCACTATTAAATACCATCTGGGATCACCAACAGCTTCATTTTTCAGCATGAAAGTGATCCCGCATACTGCCGCTGTGTAATACCTGGACAGAAAGAATCACAGTAGAACACTATCAGTCATGGATTGGCCTCCCCAGAGCCGGGACCTCAACATTATTGATGCATTGCGGGATCGTCTGGACAGACGACACTATCATAGGAAACACTTAAAATGTTGACCTGGAGAACTGTTCCTGAAAACTACTTAACCAAATTACACAAAAGCTTGTCTGAGAGAGGTCAGGCCCTGTTGAATAAAGGTTGTTGTACCAAAAATAGATTAGAAGAAGTATTGATAGAAGTATTGTAAATCTTTTTTGCCTTATATACCATATTTCCATGAATGTTTGCACGTTTCAATAAATCACTGCACCTATTTCCCCTTTTCTAACCAAAGTATAAAAAAACAAATGGTGCTTCTAGACTTTTCCACAGCACAGTATAAAGCCATTTTAGTGCCAGTCTTTGTAGTTGTTTTTAACACTATGAATGGGAAATCCTAATTTTACTCGCATGAGGTGGATTTAATCAATAATACCGAACCAAACTTGGCACAAGAGGTTGAACAGATTCTACCAGCATCTGTTTGGTTTTATAGGAACTCCAAAACTGGGGAAATGAAAGAAAAATCATCACAGAAGAAGTTTGAGCAGAAATGGTGTCACATTGCCCGCCAACCTTTGTCTCAGTACAGACACCCTACATGTATGACAGAGCAAAGGGACATAAATCATCTGACAGCCGTGGTCGTGAGTCAGAGCTGTTCTGAAGCTTCTGCTAGAGATACTCATCCGTTATGACTAAAAGACTGGAACCAGCATGTCAAAAGTCCAAATGTCAGCAGGACAGGGAGAGAACAGGAAGAGGGGGAAGGTGTGTGTGAAGTATGTGCGTGTGTGAGAGAGAGAGAGCGAGAGAGGTTTAGAATGAGACAGTGAAGAAAGAGGTGAAGCAGCTACAGTCCCTCTGGGAATATCGGAGCAGAGAGAGAGAGAGTATTGTGGCGGGCGATGGGCTGTGAAGACTCAACTGTAGCTGATGAAAAACTCGCTTTCTATCAAACATAACCATCAGTTTGAATAAGTGCTCTCGGCGGAAGAAATCATTTTACAGAACCAGTTTTGTAGCAGTAGAGACAAAGTTATTGATTTAGTTGTCTCACTTTAAATTCCGAGTGCATCTAAAGAGAAATAAACTATAGAAAAGAGGCAGCTATACATTGATTCACATTATACGTACAAACAAATCCATGATTTCTGCAGTGAAACAATGTGTGGGTGAGAGATTAAAGATTTTTTTCCAGGAGATCCCCGTAGATGCCACTGATTTAATGTGCCAGCACGCATCATTATTTTTCTTTTAGCTCCTGTGAAAAATGCTTTTTTAAAACATCTTATGCCTCTTACATGGGAGTGGTATGTCTGATGGGCGCAAGACAATGAGAAAAAAAAAAAACACACAGTGGACTGATCTCGTGTTGCGGATGCACTGTTCAGATGCCCTTTGGATGTATTTGGTGCATTATTTGCTTGCTTCAAGACTTTGAGGCAGAGCAGCACAGTTGCAAGAGGGATTGAAAACTTGCCACTAATTCACCTGCACCTCTTGTCTATTGAAGGCTGTGCGTCTGTGACATGGACAGACTAGGACGAAATGAATTCATCGGAGAGGTGAGAGTGGCTCTGAAGAAACTGAAAGAAGGCGAGAACAAACGCTACAACATGGGCCTGGAGAGAATTGCACAGGTATGTGTACATTACACTGTGTGCGTGTTTATGTGGAGAAATATGTGATATGTATTATGTATGTGCATGGTCTTCACATAGAAAGAAGGTTTAGGTGATGTGGGTTGCACAAAGGGGTCCGCAAAGGAAATGACAGATGCGCAGTGAGATTTAAAGTGGAGAAAGATGATGGGACTAGACCTTTGATGTCACAAACAGCTTGACAGCATGGGAAAGTGGAAGTGACGAGAAGCTTAGATTTAGCCGGCAACACCTGGGAGCAGACAGATGTGAGACCATCGATCAGCCGTCTTGAACTTACGCATAAGTTTCATTAGAAGACTAAGAATCTGGAGAAATCTCTGTGAGCAAGGGTGAAGGCTTCAGCACTGGATGACTGTGATCATCGTGACACTGCATTAAAAACAGATTTTGTCATGGAAATCACTGCATGGACTCAGCAACACTTCTGGAAATTTAATGTGTTGTCCAAAAGTGTAGGTTAAAGTTCCATAATGCAAAAAAGAAGACATGTGAGCAAGACCCAGAAACACTGCTATCTCTGCTAAGCCGTCAAAATGGACTGAGCCAAAGTGGAAAACTGTTCTGTCAGAGGAAACCAAATGTGAATTTATTTCTGGAAAACATTAACGTCATGCCTTACAGACTAAAGAGAAGAGGGACCATGCAGGTTGTTATCAGTTCAAAAGCCTCCATCTGCAATACTGTGTCTATGGACATGGCACTTGCACATCTGGTAAAGCACCATCAATGCTGAAAGGCATATACAGATCTTAGAGCGACATATGCACTTTTTTCCTTACATGCAATATAACGTCTCAATGATGTGCTTATGAACTGCAATGTGATTACTGAGTTACATTAGAGCATTACAGAAAAATGCAATGTACTATGCACTGTGATCTCTCTTCCTGTCTTTATTATTTCAGAATAAAGAAACTAACAATCAAACACAGGAGCAGGGAGCACTAGTTGCAGAAGAGGAGGTAATGATATCAACCTCTTTATCATTATCGTTGTTTTTTTAACTAAAACATGACCCACTGTCTTATTAATCTCCCATGTCTCATGCAATTTATCCTTCCAACAGTCCTAATCCTAATCTGTCATCTACTTCCACAATCTTAGAGGAAGTTTAAATATGTGTTTTTAATCAGTATATGTGTTTAAGGCACGACCTTTGATAGAGAAGCTACAGTTTGTAATTTAGACCAGTACCACTGCCACTACAGTGATTTTTTTCCTCCCCTGGTGGTGATTATCTCACGTCTCTCTGTGATTCCAGAGACGAAGGCTAATAGCTTTTGGTCTCTGATTAGACTCGGCTTACGGTTCAACCTGGAGATTAAAAGGAGAAGGCAGCAGTGTCATTTTTTCCGGCCCAGATAAGCCCTTTAATTATGAGCTTTAATTCCAAACCTCTCAGCTAACACGCTATATCCTACACGGTGAAACTATTTCAAGTGTTTTGAGAAACTTTGCTGACCCGGCCGCAGGATTTCCCGCTGTGGTTATTCGCTGAAGAGGGAAATATCAGAGTGGAAACAGGTGCTCTGTCTGACACTGTAGCTTCTTGTGTCCCCAGCGTGGCCGCATCCTGGTGTCACTGTGCTATAACACAGAGAAGGGCTGCTTGCTGGTTGGGATCATACGCTGCGCCCATCTGGCCGCCATGGACTCCAACGGCTACTCTGACCCCTTTGTCAAAACGTAAGTCATGTTAGATACCCGTGAACAACCTGGGATCCTACAAATTATGCTCAGGAACAGCTTTTAATTTAAGGATTCATATTTAATTCAGGAAGTGTTTGGATGTTTTTATGGTACTGCAAAATGAAAGGCATAGATTGGACTGCTAGTGTGCTGTCTTATCAGTGCTGACATTTATCTTATTTAGCTGTAATCACAACCCCTTTTAACCATAAACAAGAGAAAGCCACCTGGTGTTTATCTGATTCCATGGTGGTTTTAGTTTAGGGATCTTTAATTGTTGACGCTCTTCAGAGATTAGAATAGACGCCTTGCAGTCGTAAAACAAGGAACACCCAGAGGCTGTATGTAAAAGAAAGATGTGGCCTCCAGGATTGAAAGAGAAGTGCCTCAAATTTACATTCTTGAAAATGGTGATTGAATAGAAGTCCATTAGAAAATTACACTACACCTCTCTTGATTTATGATCTCAGTAACTACTTTATTTTGCCAAAACCTTAGTTCAACATTTTCTGACCTACAGAAACTACTATACATCAGACTTATGCTTTATTGATCTATCCAGGCCAGGCTGCCTGGGTAGATCAATAAAGCGGGCTTCTTTGAATAAATTACATGCTGCAGCAATCAGAATGCATCTTTAATATGATTTTGCTCATTAAGATTCTCAAACAAACATCAAAGTGTTTCAGAGTTTTTCACAGGACTCTGTGGGGGTCCTGTGAAAAACTAAGTACACCCCATGATTCAGTAGCTGTTTGAACCTACGTTTAGCAGCATGAACCTGAAGGAGCAGATTTCTGTTTGACTTTGTGAGTCTCTCAGAACGCTGCGGAGGAATTTAGGCCCGCTCTTCTTTGCTGCCATTTGTTTATGCACAGCTCACTTAAGCTCTGGCACAGCATTTCAGTCAAGTTTTTTCAGTCAAGGGACTTTTTCTGGGCCATTGCAAAGCCTCTTATTCTCTATTTTTCAGAAATTCTGATGTAGAGTTGCTGCTGTGTTTGGGATCATTATACTGTTTCATGATCAGAATACTTTGGTATGTGGAGGAGTTCTTGGTTTACCCAAGGAGTGCAAGGTACCTCAGCACCTGTGGTTGTAAAACAATCCCAAATCATCATCATTGGCGTGAGTTGTTTGTGCTCATATGCTGCGTTTGGGTTTCACCAAATGTGGTTTATTATTCTTACCAGACATTTCCGCTTTGATCTCATCTGTGCTAGTGATATCGCACCAGAAGTCTTGTGATTTGTTCAGGGGCAACTTTACAATCCTAAACCTTGCTGCCATGTTCTTTTAAGAAAGAAGAGGCTTTCCCTTCCAGACAAGCCAAACATGTCCAGATTTTTTCTAATTGTACTGTCATTAACATTTAACATGCTAACTGAGGACTGTAGAGTCTGAGATATAGCTTTCAGGTGTTTTTCTAGTTTCTCTGAGCATTGCAAAGACTGACCTTAGAGTGAATGTTCTAGATCTCCACTCCTGGGAGGATTGTGGCTTTGTGTGTACACACACCTGCTTTTATAGAGGTGCTCACATTTTCTGATTATCATATAATCAAGTGCAGTTTATTAGTACCACCAACCAACTAAGTACCACCAAATTGTACTTAGTTTTTGTCTGTTGCACAGAACTGCAAAGAGTTCTGTGAAAACTTTCTTATATGAAACTTTTTGGGATGCTTGTAGAATCCACAGATTATTTTTAACTGTAAAAAGTTGTTTCATTTCTTTTGTTTCCAGGTTTTTATTACATTAGAGACAGGAATGTGAAGTCAACAAGAGCCTGACTGACATTATGCACCGCAGTAAGCAGATCAGCACTCATTATGAGCTGAGGTGTTTCTGTGACAGTCGCTGAGACACATGGAAGGTCCTGCAGAGTGGAGGTGGATGCATTCTGATCACATTGTACTCTCAGTGAGATCAATTCTTTTCTCAGCCAACGCAGGTCTCTTCAAAGTCTAAAACACAGAACTATAGTTGATACTGTACCGGCTTGCCTGTAAGGCACGGTGACAGATAAAACCCACACAGCTAAATCTCCAGCGTGCCTGCTGCACTTAAGCACCAACAGTGCAGAGAGTGAAAGCTCCCACACAGGACAGCAAATCTTGTAACCAACGCCACCTCCAACAGTGGGAGGCTTCAAGGTAGAAGCAGCACAAGGTTGCTAAAAATAATACTGAAAAGGTTGTAAAGCACCTTTCTGTTTTCTTTAGATGACTCTGATCGGAGAGATGCAATAACGTCATTTATGGTTTAACAATAGGTCATTTCGTTTTTTGAGCCTTCCATTTTTGAACCTGATGATGTTTGTTTATTGCCTAAGGGTGATGTGTAGTTTTCTCATTATTTATAATTTATGAATAAATGACACAGGGATCTCAAATGAATGGAAAGAAAACACATCCCCAGTTGAAAAGGCATAAGATTAAACATACTGTTTCTCTCTCGTTTCAACCAATCTAGTGGCTGAAGCTTGAAAACGCATTCATGTTTTCTCTTCTGAACGAAACTTTTGGAGAACCAGTCAGCTTGTCTGACACGCAGGCTTCCTGACACTCAGCTTCCTTGCCAATAACACCCTCCTCTGAGTACATCTGTGGGAAAAATGACACGCATTTGCTGAACTGTAAGTACAAGCTTGCAGGAAAGTCTGGATGACGTATTCTACAGTGAGGTGAAGGAGTACTTTTTCAGTGCGTAGTAGTTTGATTTGAATAAGAGGAACACCTACAATCACTGCACTGAAAACTGCTTTTTAAGCTAATGGTGTCAAAGGTTCGTGCAAGTGGACATTTTCTGAGTCATTTTATTAACTGTTGACAACTGAAACAAGAAAGTCGGAAATGCTCATACTAGCAGTTTCTCTGAGGAGTTGTTTCTTTACTTTAAAGCCGGCATGTTGTACAGTATCGGTGTCTCTTCTAATACAATGTTTTAGAGAACAAAGGTAAAATTACACGTGCACCCAGAATGCACAACTGATTCTATCTTATATCCCTGCTTGGCCTTGTGCACACTGGTACATGTTATTTCCCTCAGTTGTGTCTTCCTCCTCTTGTTCTACATTATTGTACCAGCTGCTTCTTTTACGCTGACTCTTGTCGTTTATTATTCATTTAAGCCTCTGCCCTGATCCGATTCGTATTTCTGGCACTTGGGTCTTTTCAGCAGCCCGTCTGCCAGCATTTCTTTTTGTTCCCTTCTGTGTTCGTGTATCAGGGACTTTGTATCCATCACACAGAGCCGTGTTTACCTCAGTTCAGCGGATGAGCTGTTGAAGGTGTGCAGCTCAAGGCGCTGTATTTTTTGTCAGTGCACACCATAGAACCAGCATAATGAACACTGTAAAGTTTTAGTGAAGTTAACTTTGAACAAATAAGGAGGGAGGGGGTTAAATATGTTGCTTGCACAGGTAAATTACATCCCTTAAGTGTACTGAGCAATTAAATCGACAGGAATTAATTTACATAGTTCACTGATGTCCTGCAGCTGTAAAACCAGACATCCTCTGCAGCTCAAGCATATCTTGATGCCAGTATCTTTGTGTGTGTGTGTGTGTGTGTGTGTGTGTGTGTGTGTGTGTGTGCGTGTGTGTGTGTGTGTGTGTAAGAGAGAGAGAGAACTGATCAGATACAAAATGTTTATTAACATTACTGGTAGGTGTAAGTGGCCGCTCTGCAGTGCACTATTGATGATTATTTGGCACTCGTGATTCTAATTTAAATTTTAATTAAATGAAGTTCTTGTTGCGTTTAATGAAACTGGAAGAAAACCCAAAATTCTTTCTTGAACATATCTATCGGCATGTTTAGGTCTATATTGACACACAGTATGTTTGATATTAAATAAAATATGCAGCAGTCGATTATCCATCCATCCTATTCCGCTTATCTGATTCAGGGTCACGGTGGGGCTGGAGCCTATCCCAGTCACCACAGGGTGAGAGGCAGGGTAAAGTCCAGCCACAGCTGAAGCATACTGGTATGGTCATGCAGGCCTGAAAACTGGTCAGCAACCTTCTGGTAACCACAGGTCTCTCTGTTTCCAGCAGGGAGCTGCACAAAAAGCCTCTTTATTATTTTGGGTGATTGCCAGTGTAAATACTTGCTACCTGTGGTAGTAAAATTAGAAAAGGAGTGACGTGAACCAGAAATGGGCAATGTTCACCTTCAAGGTAAAAGTTGCATCATCCACACTTTTTAAAAGGTTCACCTTTTATTTTGAAGCTGAACTTCATCTTTTTCTATCGCTCAGAGAGCAGCAGGTGACTGTGGGCAACTGTGACAACCTGCTAGCAACCAAAAGCAATTTCAAGGAGTTTTTTGGTACAGCACAATAGACCTATTTGGGAGCAGTTTCACCCCGCAACTGCCAACATCTTCAAGCAGCAATTTGCCAACTGATCATGGAGTACCCATTTTTCTGGAGCAACCTCAGGTTGCCAGGGAGTTATTGGTGCTTTAGTAACTGATTTCACAGAAACCACGTGCCGATCGGTTGTGAAATATGCGTTTTTCCTCCGGTGACCAGCAGCTGCCAGGTGGTCTGAACAGTCCCGAGGCCTGTGTGACAGAAACTTTAACCAGAAAAGAAATGTGTCTAAACATTCTCAGTTTTTCTCAATGACTTTCCTTTTTTGGATTTGGAATTCATACTGATGAGACATTTATGTGTGAACGTCCATGCTAACCACTGTTTTATTTCCCTGTATAGGCTACACATTTTTACTATTAAATAATAACATTATAACTAATATGACATAAAGGTTAAAAAAAAGTAACCATTCTTCATTTCTGTGTGCATATATTTATCTATCAAAGCCACAGGGAACCAGGCCAAAAGAGAAGAGATGACTGTATAAGGAGTCCAGTCACTCTCTCTCTCTCTCTTGTTAAGCTTTTAGAAGCCAATCAAGTGACACAAGGTCAGAATTATCTTAGGACTAATTTGTCTTCCATTTAAAGGACAAATTAGCATTTTAAAGACTAAATTATTCGACATCTTTCAAAAGAGCCCTGAGTCTTTTACCTTGATCTTTATGCACAATCTAAAACATGAAAAAGAAAAGTCTGTCAAAAAAAAAAGCTATGTAAGGGCAGAAAAAGTGCAAACATGTCAAATCCTTCATGCTGACCAAGCACACTGCCGTGCTTTACAGTTTTGTTATCTCTCTGTTCTTGCACAACGAAGTAAAAAGATCATGAGGCTCCGCTGCAGCAGGCATATATTTAGCTCCTCTCTTCTAATTGTGACTCCTTTTTTTTGGCACATCTGTGTGTCATAACTTATTTTTGTTCCCTGTTTTTAACGTTGGCTCCCTCTCTTCCATCTATCCCTGTCATTTTCAGCAATTTTCCCCCTCTCACTCACAGGAGTGCTCTCATTCTTCTGTCTGCCTCTGCCTTAACTTGCCACCACGGTGGTACCGAATTTTTTGGAGAGCTGTCAAGTCGTCATGTGGGTCCCATGGTGGAAAGAAACATTTTGGGCAAAAATAAAGAAGTTGATTCTGCCTTCCTGACTACAAGTTTCATTTAATTTCTAATGCATCTATTAAAATAACAACAACAGCATGCAGACGCACCGGTTAGCACTGCATGCTTGTTAGGCTGATTAATGAGGTAGGTGTGCCGTAGGTGTGGATGTGAGAGTGTGCTCTTGCTTTGTTACCCCTGTGATGGACTGTCTTACTGTCCAGGCCAGTTTGGATATGTTGCTCCTATCAGTCAGAGTGACGGGACTAAATAATTTCTACTCTGCTAGCTCTCAAGTAAAAAATCAGCGTGATGTCCTTTCCCAGCATTTTCCAGAGTTCATGTGTCAGAAGAGCCTGTAGGGGACTGGCATAATGATGAAATGATCAGTGCACTTCCATTAGAAAATCAATCAGCTGACCCTAATGGACCCCATTAGAATCAAATGATTATTTTTCAATGACTGTTTGACTAAACTGGGACATTATTTTGACACAGACGGAATTATGACCAAAAGATGAACCTGGTATCAAATGCACTGTAAGTTGTTTGGACCAGCCACCGATGGTGGATGGTTGTATAACCCGTGCACATTTACCCAGATTTACTTTTTGAAGTTTTCTCCAGCTCTGACGGGGGCTAGAAAGATAGACCATAATTTTTTCCCCCCGGATTAGCTTCTGTTCATCGGCTCCCTGTTAAATCCTAAACTAAAAAAATTCTCCTCACATACACGATATTGAATAATCAGACCCCATCATATCTCAAAGACCTCAGAGTACCATATTATTCCAATAAACAGAGTGCTTCACTCTCAGACTGCAGGCTAACTTGTGGTTAATTTTCCAGTCTAGTCATGCAGTCATCATGGAAAATAACCAGTTTGTTCTAATGGGGTCAGTTAGGTTGCACTGATTGATTCTTATGAAACTGCCTGTATTATAATAGCCTCCACTATTGGCTTTTGTCACACATAAACTCTGGCTTTGTGACTTTCCAAAATAAACTGGGAGGCAGAGCATTCAGCTCTAAGGCCTGTCTACTGTAGAAACAGGATGTTTCTAACTTTAGAGATATTGCACAAATGTGCACTGGAGGACATCTCCTAACTCTTAAAAAAGAAAAAAAAAAAAGGATATGAAAAATATTATTAATATATATCTTTATCTTCTTTTGACTCCTTCTTTTAGAGGTCACCGCAGTGGAACATCTTCCTTTATCTCTGTTTCACGCTCCTCTGTCACACCAACCCTTCACTCTGTGAATCTTCTCTGTGGTCTTCCCCTTTTTATACCCTTCATCCAGTACATCCACAATCCCTCCTCTGCACATGTCCAAACTATCTCAGCCTTGCCGCTCGATGTACTAATCCTGGTCACTCCCAGTAGACAAACCATAACATTTTGAGTAGTAGTGTAGCTGCATTAGATTTCTTAATAGTATGTGTACGGGGAGGCGTTCTCATTTCTTTGTCCACGCCTTATGGGGCTTTTTAAAGATGAGTTCTGCTTGTTCATGTTGCCTCACATTACAAACACAGTTTGTCTCGTGAACAGCGTTTAAAGGCTGTCAGCAGCAGCTGCGGTAGCTCGCTAACCCTATCAGTCACAGTCAGCCGGTGATGCAGAGCTAAAACGGTGCACGTATACGGCACATAAACATGTGGTTACTTACTTTGCTGTTCCCCACTGTTCTTTTTAAAGAAACTGTTAGTGAAAAACTGAGGGGATTATCCTCCCGTATCTCTGTGGACCAGCATCCTGCGTCGTGAATTAGTTTTCACATTGAATTTTCTGTGGCAATTTGGGCACAGTTCGGTTGCTCCTTTGTGGCCTTTATTTCCATTTACCCGATCTTAATTACGAACGTTGGTGTCAAATAATGTTTTGTTATTCTGAAAATCTGAGTTCTCCTGCATGATTTGCCCTTGGAGGCGTATGCAGAATGTGAGTCGGCAGAGCTAAGGCTCGGATGTCCTCGAGCTTTCACTTCACCGTCTCACGCGCTGGGGGTTAAAAATATGCTTTGCTTGGCTGACTGTCTTAATTGATTCATTATTTTCTTTAAGATTTCTTTTTTATTTCTTGTGAAGTAAACCAAACTATTATGTAAACACCAGGTAGGATGCATCTCGTGGCGATAATGAGCTTTTTAATGCTTTAAACATATAGCTGAGCCTGTGTCTCGTCTTTATACATTGTTTTGAAACATTTACTGGAACAACACAGTAATTGGGACTTTAATAGGCACACAGTTAGTTTGTTACCCAGGGAATACTTATTTTGAATTGCTCAGAGATATTTAACTTCTCTCTAAGAAGACAGACTCTGATGCATTTGGTTGTCAGGCTAATCTGATGTACGAAACTTGACCGACTTTGAGTTATATACACTCATTTGTCACTTTGTTGGGCTCACCGAAACTGGACAACAGACTGGAGAATGTTGCCTTATTTGATGAGTCTTGATTTCTGATGTGGCATTATAATGGAACATAAAAACAGCTGTACTTCATGGATGTATGTTTACCCCAAACAGTCTGCTGGGTAGGCCGCACAGATTATAATGTTATTTCCTGCACTCGCGTTACAGCAGCCTAACTAAGTGAAAACAAATGACACCACAGTTTCTGGCTTTTTATTAGCTTCCGTGTAGATTATCTCAACTTATGAAAGATGAAGTACATTAACTTACTTTACCCACAATAAAGAGATTCCAGGCTTGCTTGATAAATTGTGACTGTTACCATTTAACACGGGCCTGCTTCCTACATCTAGAACAGAATCAGCAAAGGAAATTAAAAAGATGTTGGATAAGCAGCTCAAAGAGGAAGCACAGACCGCAGATTTAGATTCCTGGAACTCATCAGTACGAATCTGATCCGAAGCCTTAATAGTATTTTTATTTTGTTGTGTATTTTACATTAAATTGTTTTTTTTACCCCCCACAGTTATGTCTTTCTTTGATACCATGAGTTTGTGGAATGAAGTTACTGGAGAGCCATGAATGGTTTGGGATGTGTGTGATGTAAATGTTGTCTTTTTGTCTGCTGAACCTGTGAACAAGCTGCAGTTTACAAACGCATTCATCTTGTCATGGTGGTTGATGTGCTGCCACCTAGTGGACACAACATTTGAACTCTCCATCATAAAATCTTAAGCATCTGCTGTTTTTTCTCTTTCTAGTTGACAAAGAAAAGGTCTGCATTGATGAAGGGAGTGCACTCAGATACTAAGCTGACAGATAAGCATTAAAGTTTACATTAAAAGACACTAGAATCCAACAGTAGATTCAAACTTTTTGCCACCTTGCTCTCTGTCAGTTCCCCCTCCTCCTGCTCCACCTGCATCCTCTCCATCCTTTGCTCGCTCTGATTCCAGCTCTGCATGCATCAGCTGTCAGGCCAGGATT